CACAGAACCACCCCAAAACCAGACCCTGTGTCTGAGAGCGGTGTCCAAACGCTCCTTGAACTCCTGCAGCTCGGTGCCGTGCCCACTGCCCTGGGCAGCCTGTCCCAGGGCCTGACCACCTCTGGGTGCAGACCCTTTCCCTAACCCCCAGCCTGACCCTCCCCTGTCCCAGCTCCATGCCATCCCCTCGGGTCCTGTCGCTGTCCCCAGAGAGCAGAGCTCAGCGCCTGCCCCTCCGCTCCCCTCGTGAGGGAGCTGCAGGCCGCCACAAGGCCTCCCCTGAGCCTGCTCTGCTTGGGGCTGAACACACCAAGGGACCTCAGCTGCTTTTCACGTCTTCCTCTCTAGACCCTTCACCATCTTTGTTGTCTCCCCCTGGAGCCTGGATCTGTCCTTCTAGCACCCTCCCTTCAGAAATTTGTAGGCATTGATAAGGTCCTCCCACCCAAGCCTTTTCTCTAGGAGAGGTTCTCCAGTCCCTCAGTCATCTTGGTGGCCCTCTGTTGGACTCTTCCCGGTCTGTACAAGTTTCTCTTGTATAGGGAGCGCCAGAACCGGACCCATTCCCACATATAGCTCCACGAAGGAGTACAGTTACGGGGGAATGTCTTGCAGATTGCTGCATTTCCTGTGGTTGCTCTCAGTGTTCAGCCCTTGCTGCTGTTTCTCCCCAGCCCAGGCACACTGAGCCCCAGCTGTGCAGCTCTGCAAAGCACTACATCCACCTTCCTGGGACTGGAAAGTGTCCATTTACACCGACTTTTGATTATTCGCCTATATTAAAAGAAAGATGGAGGAAGCATCCTCTCTGCACCAGCTGTGAAAATCCTCTTATTTTTATTGTCTAGTAACTTAGCAAATAAGGCCACTCAGAGTAACTCATCCTCCTGGCATGAATAGTTATTGAGTTACTTTAAAACACCATTACTGTCACTGTCTCTTGGGGACCCACCAGCCTCTGTAGGCACAATAATGACACGATTCCTTTTGCTTGCCTCTGGCACAGCGGCACATCCCCCTGAACACCCCATTACTTCAATGTTCCCTCTGGGAAGGAGGCAGCAGCTGCTTATCTCAGCATGCCAGGGGAGCCTCCATGCTCCCAGGTGAGCTACCGTGGCCTAATAAATAAGACAGCAGCCCCCAGGGTCCTTTTCCTTTTCTTTCTCTCCTCCATTCTCTGATTTTGTTCCTCTCCCCTTTCTAGTCCTCTTCCCTCAGGTCCACTGCTGTCTCACCTTCACCACAGACCCGCCAGGCTCTTCTATAAAATTCCCAGTACTGCAGTTGCCAAAATCCAAGCACCATCAGGAAGGCCAACATAGGAGATGGCTGTTCGTGGTGAATGCTGAATTGCCCATGCAGGAGGGCTGGGGACAGCTGTGAGTGTCCCCGCATTGCCATTCTGCACTGAACTGCAGGGGACAATCCCTGGTTCAGGGCTATCATAGGGGCCTCTACTTTTGGAGGTGGTTAAATAAAAAGTCACCACGTGAAGTTATAATTTAGCACACTAGCCATTCAGCATCATTCTGTACAACAGTTTTTAGGGCAAGATTTAAAATGAAACACCGTGTCCCACTGTAATGGCAGAATATGCCCAGCTGCCCCAGGCTGGTCCATGTCCAGATAGTCAGCAGGTCTCCCTTTGCCTCTCTAAGAACAGAGATGACAGGACTGCAAATTCCTGTTCATGGCATCAGGCTGTTCCCCTGTTTACTTCTGGGATTCCCGTTCAGTAGCAAAGATCCAGAAAAGACCTGTTAATGTCCTGGAGTTTGCTTACCTTGGTCATGAAGACAAGCACACTGTGCTTTCTACCAGCTGGGTGAACTCCCTCTTAAAAGGAGATTGCTTCTCCCCACCAATTCTCTTAATAAATAGCCAGAAACTTTCTTCCGTGCTGCAGTGTGTTATTATTCATGATAACTTGTGCCAGTTCATTCTTCTGCCAACATTATTATGCCAGTTGCACACATTTCCTCCTTCCTATCTATTTACCACTTGTGTGTTTGTAGGTAGCTGTTTTCCCAGGCTTGATCAAACCACACTCTTTTTATCTCTTTTGGTACAAATGCCTCCCAGTTTCTCTAGTTATCTTAACAACCCTCATCTACCCCCTTCTGGCTGAACCCACTTCTCACTTGACCACAGGCCATTACAGCTAGGACAGTTCACAGATGAGGGGCACCAATACTCTATACCAGGACAATCGTGTTTCCTACCTCTACCACTGAGACCTTTCCTAGTTCCTCAAAGGGATTTAGGACCCAGCCCGTCTTGGCACTAAGAACAGATTTTCCATTTTCCCAGCTGCTGTTTCCCACTGGTCACTCTGATCAGCTGGTGCTCCACAGCCGACAAGCTACACATTTATGTCATAAAGCTACCTGTTTATTTGGTGCCCAGTTAAATTACCTTGCATTTTGTACCAATGAGATTTTCCTCACTGTTCTTACCTCAGTCCTCAGGATCATGTGCTGCTTCAGCTATCTCATTCCACCTCCATATTGACACCGCCTCTAAATTTTGTCATTAGCAGATTTTGTCAGGCATTTTCCAAGCCCAAGTAATTAATAAAAATATTGGTCTCAAGATTGATTGTTCAGGAAATCCATTAATAATTCCCCTCCAGTTTGATCCTCACCTTTGCAGCAGTATTTGTTTTCATCTCCCCTTCAGCCAGCAGCACACCCACTTTGCAGTCAATCTAGCTTCCACCCTCCCCATCTGAGCTAATCTCCCAGATGGTATTTAATCAAATGCTTTCTCCAAGCCAGCATGGATGAGCTCTACTGCACTCTCTGCATCTATAAAGCCAATTATGTTCCTGATCTTACTTTGATAAGTCCATACTGCTTGTTATATCATTTACTGCCATTATACTTTTCTTCCAAGTCTGTTCTGAAATCTTACCTGTTCTTAAGGTCAGACATAAGAGACTGTCATTTTACTCCTTTCCTTTTTTCTCTCCCTTTTAAATTAGCTATTCTCCCATTACATTATGCTGTTCCTGGCTGGATAGATTAGCTTAAAATATTTGTTGCTGCCCAGGTGTCCCATATGGGACTCAGGAAGGGCAGTGGGTCCTTCCAGCTTCTGGATATGAAATTACTCAAGGTCAGGGTCAGCCTGACTCTACCATGCTCCTGTTCTTGTTTCCATCCTCCTCCTTCTGGTTCTTGAGCAGCATCAGCATTACCCTACTGACAACGGGGCTGGAGGCAAGAGTTTTGCTTCCAAACCTCTCATTGCCTCGCATGACTGGCAAGTTTTGCTTTAACTACTACAGCTCTGGATTTCAAAGATCCAGCTTTCACCACCACCACCCCGCCAGCAAGCCTTTTATGTCAGTCCTTGCTATCTCTCTGCTCATTTTCATCAATATTTTTGAGGTGACCGGAAATCTTTTCTGTTGGTATTTCTCTTGGCTGGTGGGACAGATTGTCATTTTTGCTGCCCTATTAGGCAAGGACAACCTAAGCCTTCCATATCCAAGTCCCTCCAGGTACTCTTTCCACCTCTAACATACATTGATGATGTATTGTTGGAATAAAGAAATTCATTTGTAATCTTCTCTTGGTTTATCCTTCCATTTAATTTTATTGACCTACATTTAGAGGTGTCCAACATGTTAAAGTTTCTATGTTATCAATACCAGCTGTATTCTTCCTTCTCTTCTCCATTACAATGCTCTCCCCTACTTTCCTGCTGCATTTGAGGGACCTTCTGACTCCACCGTGATGGCCTCAGGTAAGAGAAAGCAAATGCCAGAAGAAATCTCACTTCTAGAGGACAAAATCTTTCTTACAATGTCTTATCTTTTCTAACTAATGCCTTCCAAGGACAACTGAAAGTAGGTCAGTCCAGATTTTCTGATAGACTTCTTTTAATTTTTATATTTTAACCTTGGGAGAGCATAAAATCCAACTATAAAAAGTTATTTGTCAAAGTCTAACACTGGAAATCAAGGCTGAAAAAAACACTATATGCACATAATAAGTTTAAGGATACTCCTATGTTTCTGTGACCCTTCCTTGGAGGAAAGCAGGAAGCAAAGAGTTGTTCATTACATTTTGTTTAGCTCCTTTCTCTTCTTAAGAAGCTGAATTTTTGGGATGTTGTTCTGAATATGTGATACCACTTTGATAAGGGGGATGGATTCAAATAGGTTTAAGTTGCTGAGGTGGATCCCATTGCCTATGCAAACATCATGTTTCAGTAATTAGCAATGGCTATCCAAAGCTGCCACCAGTTTTTCCTTATTTACTCCTTAATCCAAATCTAAATCCGAATCTAATGCAGGATCATTCCATTGGTGTCATTTTCTTTTGCAGAGGGGGTTACAGAGGCTGTTTGTCCAGAAATATCTTTTTTTTTTTTTTCCTCCCATTAATATTGCAAGATGAGGTGGGATTTGGGTCCCTAATTAGGGCACCTATATTCAGGTGCCTATGTACTGGCACTTTCTGAGCACCATGGCTAAACACCCATCATAATCAGTGGAGACTGAGCCAGCAAACCCTTGAAAGCTATTCACCATGTGCTACAGGGAGCTTCCAGGTGGGATTCAGGTTCCTAATGGAGATAGGGTTTTGGAGGTGCCCTAACACTCCCTGCCTGAGCAGTGAGTCCCTTTCAGGTCCTGTGCCATGCCCATCTGCACCATCCAAACCTCACAGAAGCCTGAAATGGCACCAGCTGCTCATGCTTAGGCAGCTGAAATCCTTCTGTACATTTGTTCAGCTGAATCCCCCTCAAAACTCCCAGATGTGAAGCTCCTTGGTTTGCATTATGGGTGGACCAGCAGCTGGTTGTAGCCTGGGCTAATTGCAAGGTTTCTGGTGGCACATGTTGATGTTGATGTGCTTTGGCTGAAATGCAGGTGAGGAAGCAGCAGCAGTGCTACCCCCAGGTGTCCTGCAGCTCTCAGGACTTTTAGCTCACAGTTGCAGGCGATGTTGGCAGGAGAACAAATGGGTATAAAATGACCACAAATGCATTTAACCTGGAAATGAATAGGAAGCTTCTAATCATCGCAGCCGTAATGTTCCCACAACATTCCCGCAGGACCAGTGCCAAATACATTTGAGGTAATTAGTTTATTAAAATGATCGGAAAATAAGGTTGCTATGATACTGGGGGCAGGAGCTTCACGTTGTGGGAAGCCTCTGAAACGTCTCTGCAAAGTGGGATACATGGGCTTGCTAGGCTCTGTGTTTTTCAGGGCAGTTTGGGTCAAAATTGTCCCCCTTTTTGTTCCAGAATGGCAAAAATGGTTTGGCATTCCTTTTTTTTTGTTTGTTTGTTTTTTGTTTTAATTAATTTTAAGTTGTTTCTCCTTGGATAGAAATCTTGAGAACTTACATGCTTTATCAATCAATCAAGCAAACAAACAAAAAAACAAACTGAAGTGACAGCAGTTCTATGGAACAGAAATTGTTCTGACATTTAATTCATTTTAGCCGTAACCACAAATTAAGAAAGATTGTGGTATTGCAGTTCTTTCTCTGCACAGAGTGTAACTTGCTGACAAAGCAGTACTTTGACTTCTTCCTATGTATCTAATTGATACTTCTCTGCTCTAGTGACTAAAACATACAGCTATATATTAAAAATGTATAAATTAGGATCGGTTCCTTTTTCTGCTCACAGAACTAGGGAAGGGATTGTCCCCCTGTGCTTGGCTCTGGTGAGGCTGCACTTCGAGTACTGTGTTCAGTTTTGGGCCCCTCACTACAAGAAGGACATCGAGGTGCTCGAGAGAGTTCAGAGAAGGGCGACGAAGCTGGTGAGGGGCCTGGAGAACAAGTCCTATGAGGAGCGGCTGAGGGAGCTGGACTTGTTCAGCCTGGAGAAAAAGAGGCTTAGGGTCGACCTTATTGCTCTTCATAAGTATATTAAAGGAGGTTGTAGCGAGGTGGAGGTTGGTCTGGTGACAGGACGAGGGGGAACAGGCTAAAGTTACGCCAGGGGTGTTTTAGGTTGGATATTAGGAAGAACTTCTTTGCTGAGAGGGTTGTGAGGCAGTGGAATGGGCTGCCCAGGGAAGTGGTGGAGTCACCATCCCTGGAGGTCTTTAAAAGATGTTTAGATGTAGAGCTTAGGGATATGGTTTAGTGGGGACTGTTAGTGTTAGGTCAGAGGTCGGACTCGATGATCTTGAGGTCTCTTCCAACCTAGAAATTCTGTAACTTGTGAATCTTCCATGGTGCCTCAGCAAGTCTGGAGAAGAACTTGCTTGGAGTAAATGTAATAGAAAAGACTTATTGAAGGATGTCATTTGCAAGGGATTATCAAAGTTCTCTTTGATTTCACTGACTGAAAGTATATCCCATTCAGATGAGAATGGAATTAAACCTGAAAAAAATGGAGTTTTGTTGTAGAACTGATTCTGGGAAATCATGAATTCTACTGCTAATATAAAGATATAAATAGCAAATGTTTCAGTTGTCTTTGCTAAGGTAGTTCTTAGGTGGATTTAACTTAAGATTTAAATCTTCTTTTCACATCATGCTCATTATAAAGCTTTGTGAAACCATTCTTGCCTGCCTCTTGTACTTATCACCGCCCATGTCATCACAACACTGAGTAACTCGCAGCTGCAAGAAGTTTTAACTGTTATTAGCTTTTTCTCCTTGCAGAGTTCTGAAGAGGTAGCTGGCAATATTTTCCCTTACTCTTCTGTAGTACTATGCATCTGGTATTTCATTGAAATTGAGTAGAAAAAGGTGCTGTTTAATGGAGAAATAATACTGCAGTCAGTGTAGAAATGGGTTATATCCTTTTAATATGGAGATACTGAGTAAAAATGAAGGTGCTCAGTTTCTGTGCTTGAGGAAACCCAGGCTCAGCTAAAAGTTATCAGCATCTTGGAAAAAAGCAGGGGCCCTGTATCTCCACCTTTCTCCTTTTTTTCTTTTTCTTCCTTTTTTTCTTTTTTCTTTCCAGGAAGCACCTCTAATTTCTGTGGTCTTTGTGGCTCAGTCTAGCTCTTCTTGAGACCTAAGACCCCTCTGGAAATTATAGTGGGTGTATTTTCAGAAATAACCTATGTCAGGCTTCCCACAAAGACCTTGCCCAGCATCCTCTGTGTGGCAGCACGTGTCATGGACCCTCCTTGGGGTTGGGTGAGAACCAGGAAAGACAAAACTTGTAAAAAGACTCATTTGTGAAAGCTCTCTGTAGATGTTCTGGCTGAATCTACTGGAAGCAAGGAGGCATCATGCAACAGCTCAAATTGGAGTGGGAAAAGATATAAAAGGGCTATAAAAATATGCTAGTTTTAAAATGAAACCAGACAGGATAAAAAGTGAGTGAGGAGCAGCTTGTGAAAGGCATCAAAATTAACAATAAATCATTTTCAAGCCTTAAGAGAGGAGGCCTATCAGAGTGGTAAAGCCCACCAAAGAATGAGGTACGGAAGGAGCGCTTAGACAAGGCTATTACAGAAAAAGTGAATTAAATTTTTCATCTGTGTTCATCTTCAAACATCTTGGAAAGCTCCTTTACACGGGTCTCATCAGGGTCTGCATCTTAACCTGAGGTGCTGGTTAGAAGAGTTAATGGAAGAAATCTAGAAAATGAACAGTGACAAACACTCAGGACAAGATGATATCCAAGCAGGACCTTGGTGGGATGCCAAGGAGGAAGAAGTTGAATAGTCACTAACAGAGTAGTCTCCCCCTTAAATATATCCCATTATCAGAAAACTGAGAGCTGATTAATTGAATACCGTTGTTACAAAGCTTGCTGTGGAAGGCAATGCAGCAGCAAGTTTAAATTTGTATGGTGAATCCAAATGCAAATCAGTTTTTGTTAATCCCATGCCGGACGTGCCCTGAAGGGCAAGTACGTCACCCGTGTGTCTCCTTTGGTGCCACCCGCAGTGCCCAGCCTCGCTTCCAGGCACAAAATGCTCAGCTCTCTCAATGCTCTGCAGTATCAGGGGCTCTGGGAAGCGGCCGTCTGCTGCCCCTCTGCTCCGTGCTGTGACGGCATCCGCCCTGGCACCATCCTTCATCCTGCTGTCCTTCACCTCACTTTCCACATTGGCTGCCAGGGAAACTCCGAGCCAGGAGAAGGTCACTCGGTTTCGGGGGCTGCAGCTAGCAGAAATATGTCTGCAAAATGTATTTTAATTGGTAAGGATAAATAAGCGACCGGGTGTGTGACCAGCATAAATATTTCCAAGTGGGTATTTTGGGGACATAAAAATGTAGTATTATACAGAGATCATTTAGAAAAATGCTGATTAGCTTCAGAGTATTAGTGAAGCAGAAAATTGGCTTGGAACATGATTGTTAGCAGCTACCTTGAGAGCTTTATCCATTTATATCACTATTTTCCTTACAAATGAGCCGGGGGATTAGCTTGCACTGACGGACTAAGGACATGTCAAGTTCCATTCAAGAAGAAGTAGAGGAGTTTTTTGGTGTTTTAAAAACTGCCTTCCTTGTTAACTTGGCTGTTCCTAATGCACAGTTTTGTGGAACTGCAGGTATCTGGCTGCTCCCCACAAGTATTTTCCCTGTCAGGAAAATGTTATTTTTGTTTTGGGATTGGGATTTTGTTACTGGGATTTTGCATTTAACCATTGGGGTCTGCAGGCTTGTGCAAGTCACTCCATTCCCACCACGGATGGCCTGACAGGTCCTTTTTCACTCCATATTCAGACACACAATTCCAAGCACAATTTCTGCCATGTATTAGCTGTGTGCCCTGTGCACAGTGAGGTACTACTGCTTGAGAGGGATGCGTGGGGATCCTGCTGCATCTCCGGCCTCAGAGACGATAACTTGCAGTCACAGTAACATCCCAGCCGAGGAACTTTACAACATTAATTTGGAAAGCAGCCGTGCTGTACTTTGTGGAGATCGCTCATCTTCTTTTAATTGCTGTCTTGAGTTCTTGAGAACTTTTTAAGTAATTCTTTGTTATTCACAGTTGAAGGGAAGAAGAACATTCAGGCACATAGCCCTATTTCAAATAAACAAGATGCTAATTAAATTTGCTTTGAACCTGAAGATATGGGTTTATAGCCCTTATGAGCTGATGAAGGGTCCTTGCCACAGCTGCTGGGTACTCAGAGTATTGCCATACATTGTGCAGGATGGTGCTGGTGCACAGGGAAGGGCAGGCATGATGGCAAGGCTGAGAGCTCTTCCTAGCCTCACCTTTCGCTTGCCATGTAAGCCTTGATGATCACTCACTCTGAGCCTAGTTTATTTAAAAAACTGATATTTGCAGCTCATGCCTGTTTTAAAGGGAAACATGAAGCCTATGGCTTGAATTAGCAGCCTAGACACATCTGGGTTGAAATGCCTTGGTCATCTCAACCTCTCCCATGAAGATTGGTGACTCCATGGTGTGGCAGATCTAGCACAGGTCCTGTGGGAATCCTGTGCCCTTCCAGAGGTGAGGGCAGGCAGGACACTGAGGGCATCCCAAGCAGTGCCTGTGTGCGGGCAGCTGAGGTGACTGTTTGGGATTTTTGCACAATAGACTTTCAAACCCAAATCAGGTTACCGAATTACCAGCCTACCAGTAACTGCAGGGAGCCATTTTCACCAGCTGATACAGTCCTGTTCAGAAATTGCTCAGCTGATTGCATCTTTGAACACCATAAATACAAAGCTGTATACATCTTGAGAGCATTGCTGTCATTTTCCTCTCTGAATCTTCATTCCTGTTCAGGACCTGTTGTATTCCTCTATTCTTCATCTGTGGGGTACAAAATTATAATTCATTTGTTGACTCATTGACGTTTTTCTCATGACCTAGAAGTTTTAAGAGCCTGTTTTAAGTTGTTTTAAGATGACTGGATATCTGCATGCATGTAAAAAAGGCCAATAAGTAATCAGAGCAGTGCGTAGAATATGCAGGTAGCTTCTGAAAATAACAGGGAGAGGTTAGCTGCCTTTTCACAGCGGGCTGAATTATAAACTCGAGTTCTTCATGTGATTTGGTTTTCAGGATGCAAATAAAAACCTGCCATCTGCAAGCAGAACAACTCACATTATTATAGTCTCTGGGTCAAACAAGACCACAGTGCTGAGCTGTGCAGGTGCTGCTGGTTATCCTGTACCAAGGT